CCTTAATTCTCAGTCAAATCTTTTAAGAAACTTCACTTCAAAAACCTCAACCTCTTTTAAAATGATACTGTTGGGTTTAACGGTTTGCGACTTTTGGTAACTATTAAATCTTCTTACAGCAATGGTTCAGAAAAATTGAGCTGTCAATTCATTTTACGTTATTTAGGCACTTGGATAAAACAGTTGTTTCAGAAACTTTCTCAAACACTCAGTACAGCATTCTTCTAACTGTGCTACATTATGAACAAAATGACTGTACTTACCAACAGTTAAAATACTGATGAAAGTAAAATACATTGACTCAACATAAGTCCAATTTTCTTTCAACTGTATAATGTATGAAGCAAAAAGACCATAAATAAACACAAACAGAAATACGAGTATTGGCGGAAAACGAATAAGTTTTACACGATCCAAAAGCTCCTGAAAACATACACTGAAGTGCGCAAGACTTGCTTTTAAAAGCTGATAAATATTTATAGAAGTATGAAGAGAACAAAATAATGGTAACTTTTTTCTAAAAACTTATGATTTCTTTAAGGGTTATTTTTATTAATACGAAAGAGATTACTGTGAAAAAAAGAATTTACAGAATTGAAAAAACCGAATGGCACTGCTCCTACGACAATTCTATGTGCAGTGAAAATATTGCCATATAGTTTTTTGTATATTACTATGCTGATTTATGATTGCTATAGATAATTGTTGACAAAAAAGACTGTATAGAGATCAAATTCTGTTACTTCTTAAAAACTGCTTTTTTAATTAACGCTTAGCTGTGCTAAAGTAGGGTAGAAATGTCATATCGCTGCTGTAACTGAAAAATTACAGTTTTGTTGAACTTAAGTGTCTTCATATATATTCGTTTCACCATATTTTTCTGCCAGTGAAAACATTCACTTTTAAAGATGGAAAAAATAAGGTTATAAACAAATTGAAAAGAATCCAAACATTTTTCAGGTTTTTAATATCAAAATTTTCAAACACCATAATAAGGCGACAAAAATCTGTGACCTCTTTTACTTCTGGTGTTATACAATTCTTTGATCTATGCTTTTTCTTAGCAGTAAAACCTGTTCATTTCTGAAATCACTGCTTAATTTTCTTCTCATCTAAACTAAGTTAGAAAGTTAAAAAAGTTGAAGTAAAAAGCACAATTTAATCTAAAATCATTATTGCAATATAATGTTAAGCACAATTATTAAGAGTTATCTGAAAAACTGTGCACAGTAATTTTTATACAACTTTCGAGTTGTATAGATTGTCATTGTTTCTAGTGATTTAGCTGCAGAAAACATAATTTATATTTTGAAGAAAAGGTTCTATACCGAGTATATTCTCATATTTTTCAGATAACAGCTCTGCTACTAAGATGTTCGTATGAGTTACAAAGCCACAAAAACGTACCTGTTCGTCTTCACTGTCAGCGAACAGAGGCCTGTTCTCATCGATTTCTCCTCGTTTCCTTTCTTTATATTCCATCCATAGTTTCCAAAATTCATAATGAATTAAAAAAATAGTTTCTGAGATAAATTTGGCAACATTTGCTACAGTAACTAGCGTTAATGGAATTCCTGTAATGTTCCTAATTATAATTCTTTGTGTCCACTTTACGTAATTTATTTTTAAATTCCAATATTTATTTATAAAAAATTGTAAAAGTTCTTGGAAAAGTTAAAAGCCTTGCTATTTCACTACTCGAATAACTGCTTAGTCTTTTTGCTCTTTCTTAATTTATTTAAAAATAAGTCTAATTCTTAAAGATTATTCTAACCAAACAAACCAATAAAAATTTTAGTCAACGAATAAAGCTGTTTATCAAGTTTTACAAATTTTTTAAAACTTACTTACCAATTAAACAATAAACAACACCAAAAAGTCGTCCGTAGAAAGTAACAGGTGCAATATACCCATAACCGATCAAGGTTAGCATAGTAGCTGTAAAAAAAAATGACGATGCAAAATCCCATGTTGGAGCATCGGCACCGTATCCATGTCGAGATATTCGATGAGCAGCAAACACTGTGTCCACGTACTAAAACCATTTCGGACACTCAAACAGCCATGCTGCTGTGTTTAACTAAATGCTTAAGCCAAACAAACACTAAGTCATATATTAATATACAAAAAAAAAAAA